TCCTACTAGAGATAATATTAGTATAACTAATCTAATAAGTTAATTTATTATATTATATATAACAACTTACCTTACATCAAAAAATTTTGAATATAATTTATATATAACTTACATGTAGAGTAAGTATGTAAGTTACAACCTTCCAACCTTAGTCATCACACCCTTAATATCATCTTTTAATTATATAATTTTATACAAATCAAAAGTAATATAATTTTTTCTTTTAAAATAGATTAATAAAAATAAATTAAAAGTGATAAAAACAAAGGTTTGTTTTAGAATAAATTATTTAGTAAAAATTTTTTACTTATTATTATTATACAAGACTTTGTAATCTAAATAGTCAATATAATATAGCAACCTGCTATATTTAACAAAATTTTAAACATATTTATTTATAAAAAAATATATATATAAAATCAAGCATGTTTATAAACTTTTGAACTGAATATGAACTAAATCTAAACTAGATTTAAAAGTTCAATATAAATTTACTAAACCTTATTTTTAAAGGATTTTAGCATTTATCGCCAGTGGCGATACCACCACCTCCTATTTCTTTTATCAAATTTAGAGATAGAGTGCAATCTTAGACCAAGGTTAGGGTTAGGTATAAGGGTCCAAATCTTTGTTAGGGTTAGGTTTTTGGGGTTCTGAACATTTTTAATTAGTAACTTCGACATGTGTTAGCTAGTAGGTTTTTGAGATATAGTATCCCTAGCGATATCACCACTGGCGATAAACATTTTTAAAATATTTAAGTTTATTTCAATTTTAATTCAAACTTGAACTTGATTTAAAGTTAGTTGGGTTCAGATTTATAGGAATACTAATCAAAATTGGTCACATCATTGTTGAATATACATGTTCAAGGATCTCTAATTTCACTCCACAGTTCTGATTAAGCATTTTGTAAATGCCGTCTCTGATTGGACAAAGTAGACTAAACCACTCTTCGTCTACCAATCAAATTGTAAGATCAGGTGCAACTTAAAATTTTAAAAAAAATCGAATTTTTTCAAAAATTGCCAGTAACATAAAATTTTAGTTACAAATTCACCTTTTGTGTTCAAACAAGAACTAATTCCTTGCAAAATTTTAGTATAGTATATATTCTATTAGACCTTTATACTATTTTATGATTATCATTTATTCGATCGAAAAACAGGATTTTTCTTCGTTCAATAGAAACTATAGGGACAACTTAATAAACCTATGTTCAAATTATTTGTATGATTTTCATATTGTTACACAACAAAGATTCATAATTAAACTTTCGCTTGAGTAACATATATACTTTGGCGTGTAACCTTATAATAGTCTATGCAAAGTTTATGCATACTTTAATTAGATTTTATATTGTTATACTACATATCTGTATATAGTATATAGCTTATTTGTAGTTTAATAGTCTGTATAAATAGGGACATATAGAATGTTGGTTAGTTAGTCTTTTGGATAAACTCTATAAAGGCAGAGTGGTTCAGAAGTAGTGTAACTTGCCTATAAAAATATAAAATTTATTTAATAAGAAATCCTCTTGTAGTTGTTTAATTATAGTTCAAAGAAATCTAAATCAGCCATTAAGTAACAGGTTAATAATAGAGGGTTAGAGCTAGGATTTCTGAGAATTCATAAATAAAATGAATATTTAATTAGGATATGAATATTCTGTTACACAAACCTGTGAATAATCAAGTATTTTTTAAGAATATTCTGTACAAATAATTTATATAAATATTTATATAAATATCTGCATAAATATTCTATATAAATAATCTATATAAAATATTCATATAAATATTTGTATGAATATTATGTATAAATATTTTATGTAAATATTTATATAAATATCTATATAAATATTTATATAAATATCTATGAGTAATGGTGAAGTTGTCGCATACCCAAGTGGCAGCAATCAGAGTTCGAATCCCACCAACGGCAAAAATTCAAATTTCAGAATGTGTTACGGCAGACTGTGAGTGTAAGTGGACGGATTGACATCTGTAATCTGGTCATAACAGCCTGTACTGGGAGGCTGTGGAACAATAATGTAATGTATAAGTTATACGAAACCCAAGTGAAGTAGCTGTGTAAATCTAGAGTTGGCACACATAGAAGCCCACTTGGCAAGACCTAAGTAGAGAGGTAGCACAGATCTTTAATGGTACTATGTAAAGAATTATCAATCAGAAAACCAGAAAGCTGAATGAGACCAAAGTATTTGGCAAGATACTCCACCAACCTGGCAACTGGAGAGTAACCGAATGAAAAGGATCTAACCATAGGGACTAATGGCAGGTTACAGCCCTTCTGGGCCATCTGGATTGGAAGTTTGAGATGACAGGTATATGGGTAATAGTCTTTATAGTGGGTGCTGAGGCTTGGGTAAACTCTATAAGAGTGGTAGTAGGTAATAGTAATGGCTTCGGCTTGCAAGTACTTGTTCTTGAACTCGGCATAAGTTATTAAAAAAGTCTAGATCAGCTAGATTTGTGGGTACAGAAGGCTCTAGCAGGTTTACCACAAGGATAAAAGACCCCTATCTGGCAGTGTGTATCTACTTTAAAGTCCTAAGGCACCTTACTGGCAGTCCCTCTTTGAGGAGAATATCCGACAGCACTAAGTTGATCAGAGGGTTTAAATAGATAATTCCCTTAGTTCAGTAGTTGGGTTATAGGTATAGCAGCTAGTGTAGTTCATATGAGTTACGTATATAAGACTGCTTAAATAGACAACAAAAGTTGTACATATGGCTAGTTGTACCCTCGTTAATGTAATAAAGTCAGAAGTAGCCTATGTAGGTTGCTCTGACATTTGAATCAAAGTTTAATAAAATGTGTCAGACCCCAAAGTGGTCACCTTAACATTAAAAAAATATATATATATATCTATGAATATTCTGTATAAATATTTGATAAATATCTGTGTAAATATTCAATGAATATCTGTATGAATATTTAATGAATATCTATATAAATCTTTATTTACTATAAATTGCTACATATACTACTATGGGTCTGTTACTTTAAACCTGTATAAAATTGATTTAGATCCAAGAAGTCTGCTGTATGAAGAAGGGCCTGCTATTAAAAAGGTCTGTTGTAGCAAACTTAGCATCCTTATAAAAAAAATACAGCTAATATCACTTGTAAATTAAAGTTGAGTAATTACATAAATTAAAAAAATCGGATATATACAAAATACTATATATAAAATTGAAGGTATGGCATTAGCTGTATTTTTTTATAGATAATGCTAGGCCTGTTGGTCTGCTGTGTATTAAAAAGATATTGAACAATTAAAATCATGCAAGTCTACGATGGATAAATAATATATGACTATATAATAAACCTGGATCTTATACTTTTATCTTTCTCTAAACCCAAGGGTCTGCTAGAAGTAAGTCTTTAATAGTTTATGTGGCAATTTATATACTAAACTAATTGCTAGTCAAGTTTGCAAATTATTTAGCTAAGTTCAAAGTTTTTAATCTCAAATCTAGCTAAATAGTCTGCAAATTTAGTTAGAATTATAAGTAATTAGTTTCATTATTTAGAAATTAGATCTTATAAAAAACTTTGTGCCAAATAGTAATGCAGATAATACTTTTGACAAAACTTGATAAAATATAAGTGATCTACTTACCTAGTAGTTAAACAAGCATACTAACTGACTAAATAACAATAAACAGAAACAATATAAACAATATAAAAAATTATTTAATCTAATTTCAAATCTGAATTTTTACAACTACTGTGTATACTTATTTATACTGATCGAAGCAAAGCTAAAAAATTTAATTGCAGTTTAAATGCCAGCATATTATCTTGCAAAGTAAGCAAAACATGCTTTTATTAGTTTAGACCATTTTTAATAAATCTACTATTATGATCTCTTATACTGAAATTCATATTCTGTAACTTATATATGCAACTACTTGATCTAGAACTTGGATATTTCTTATTACACACCACTCACACCACTCACACCACTCACACTACTATTCTATAAAAAAAACCTTCTTAATTTTGTTAGAAGTTTTTATTCACACATAAACTTTTGTAGTCTAAAAAAAAAATTTAAATTAATTAGCTACACATACTATAATTTATATGTTCTTTATCTTTTTTTTTGATAATTTCTATATAATATATACACTAAAAATTATATAAATTATTGTCTTATATTGCTAAAACATTGTTTCAAAAATCTTTATCTTTTTTTTTGATAATTTTCTATGTAATGTATACACTAAAAATTATATTAATTATTATCTTACCTTGCTAAAACATTATTTAAAAGTTTTTATATTTGGATCTTATGCAATATAGGTGGTCATATATAAATTATTACAAGATAATAATATATAAAACCTATCTAATTTGAGCTAATTTATATTAGAACTCTAACTCTAACCTTAACTATTTATAAATTTACTTGATTTGATTCAAAATAGTTGATTTTTATATATTATAATTATATAATAATTATATTTAACCACCTATACTACATTTCAACCTTATATTTTTTCATACAATAAACAAAATTTTGGTACATAACAACTTAGTATTTTTAAATCTGTATAACTTCAGTAAATAAATTGTACTATGAAAGTTAGTAAATTCAGATAGATTCAGTAAATATGTTGTAGAGCAGAACAAAAGCATTAAGTTTACTTGCCACCTTTGTTAAGAGGTTGCCAAAAAAGTATTGTAAAACATATAAAAAAATTTTTTATCATTTGAAAATCTTGTGTAATATGGACTGTTCTACCTTATATATATATATATGTATATATCTAAAATCAAAGTTTTATTACTTTTCATTAATATTTACCATATATATTTATTAAAATATATAATCTTAAGCTTATATACATATATTATTATTTTAAAATTCATTTACAAAAAAAATTTGAATGTTCTATATTACTTATGCAAAAAAGTTAGAATTTTTTTTTAATACAGATCTGGATATAACTTAAAATGTTTTAATTACAGACTCTTAATTGTAATTGAACATCCACCTACTACAGGAACATTCTTTTTTAGAAAAATTAAATTTTCAAACACTTCTGGTTTTAAACTAGTTTTTTTATTTGTCATAATATTGTCTGCATCACTAAAAAGCCTCTCATTTGCAGCTGACATTGCTTGCACAGCAAGATATTTTCTTGCAATTTGAAAAAGAACAACAAATGTTTTTTATTATCTTTCTACCAATTGTAAGCATTTTGATTTTTAGAATTTCTTGTAATACCAAATATCTATTAACTTCGTCAACATTATCAAAATTATAAGAATTAAACAAACTTTCACCATATAATTTTGTCTTTAACTTTTTTTGTAAGAGCTCACTTTCCTATCTTACAGTTAAGCTTGTTATATGACATTTGGAACTTTTTTGATATAGACGACACAGTTCATTAATTGTTTTACCTTTTTTTGCTTTGGTTATAAATGATAGATTTTTCTAACATAGATCTAAAAGTGAAATAACAAGACTATCAAACTCCAAATCTTTATAATAAATATTTATTGCATAGTAAAGTTTATCTTTAATTACATTAATTAATTCAGAAATATTAACTGGATTATTAATTTTGATCTTTTTTACTTTTGGTTCATCGTCTTCCTCATCATCTTCAATTTGTAGTCCATTAAATGCATCCTCAAATTCATCTTGACTATTATAATCATTTTTATTAATAGGCTTAATAGAACAACTCAATCTTGACTTAATTTTTTGTATTGCAGGATATAGTCAAATATTTGCTTTCCTCTAGCTTTTTAATAGTTTCAGCAAATAGACCTATGGGGTGGTATTCCAAATTGAATTTTAAAAAATTAATTAAAAATCAATTATTGTTAATTAATCGATTAGTTAATTAATTGATTAATTGACTAATCGATTAGTTAACTTCAAAATAGCTTAAATATGATCTTAATTAATCGATTAATTTTTTTTTTAATCTTCAAAGGTAAGATTAATAGATTAATAGACAAATCACGAGTCATCTAAACAAAATATTTTTTTTTATATATAAATTTTACTATAAGTGTGAATATGGTGCGTGCCTATCTATACCTTTTTTTCTTACTAAGTAAATCACACTTGGGCTTGTAACAAAAGTTGTAGAGCTTATCAAGAGGCATCTAATGATAGTAAGTATATTAAAATTGGCTTGGTAGTTCTTGAGAAATCTTTAAAAAACTTTTTCACAT